CAGGCGCATTTTCCAAAACGTCGCCGATGGCGTAAACGTATGGGCAGGTTATAGACTGCTCTCGTCGGGCTTTTACCTAAATTCAAAGAAAATCTATAGAATCGATTCTGCGTAGGCTTCAGGCACGACTACCTTTCCATTGCGAGCTGTCTCCACACCAACTACATCCAGACCGATATCTTTCGTCATAGCATCTCGGCCGATTGCCATCACAACCTGCAATTATATGCTAAACAAAGCTCTAACCATGAGGCCGCGATCATACTTTGCGAACGCCTTGCACTTCCATTGTGGAACAGATTCATATAGACCACGCAATCTGAGATCGTGCGATCGCATATTAATATCTACTCCAAGAGATTCGCAAGATTGGCCAACTGTGACCCCAAGAAAAAATGACGAAGAGAACTCACGGTATTATATTCTTCACTGTGCTCCTCAGTTTCAGTATCCGACACTTTTCTCGCAAAGTGCACACGGATTCGTCCAGCTTTCGTCTTGGTTTTAGGCTCTATCTCTTCTATTCGAGTCGGGACAGCGCTAAAGGAGAGAAGTCATGACCAGTAAAATAAGTACAATTTTTCGAAATCGTCCTCAAATTTTCTTCAAATTAGCTTCCACGATTTCTCGGCTTCGGAATAAGCTCGAGACAACACCAGAAAAATGACCTTTCCATTAATTGAAACAGCGTAAATATCGAATAGTAAGTTTTGTCAAAAAGCAGCGTTTTGTTGCGAACTTTTGGGAGGGAGAGAAAAAAACCGCAGGTTTGCTGTTCGCAAAGATAATTCAAGGTTTTCCAAAGGCACTTCAGAACCCTTCGTACAATAGAAAAACCTCGTACAACAAGGTATGAAGTTAAACTGACCCTGTAGATAAAGGTGCAAAGCTTTTCACTAAACACTCACTCACTTTTCAAACTTAATGCCACTTTCTTTCATATGCGCTCTGATTCGTTCAGCCATGTCTTGATCAAAACCTCTCAATAGAATGGACCTAACCATTACCTGGAACAAAACAAAAAAAAAATCACGAAACATAATAACTTTCGTTGCTACACTCACCGTCACATCATAGCCCAAACCGTGCAGGAAACCAGCACACTCTAGTGAAACATAGGAAGCACCAACACAAAGTGTTTTTCCAGGAGGATAAGGAAGCGAAAAAAGATCATCACTAAACGATAATTCATAATACAAAGACAGTGACCAATAATCCCGCAAACTTACTCGCAATCAATATTTACATAAAAACCAACCTTGAAACACAGTATTCACGTGCACCGGGGACATCCGGAGGATATCGTGGGCGAAGGCCGGTGGCAATCAAGAAGCGATCTGCTGTCAACACCTCCACTTGCCCTTTCTTATTCGTAGCCGATATCTCGAACGGTCCCGTAAACCTACCATAGGAATTTAATATACGTAACCTGTAAAAAAGGAGTACAGGGAAATTCCTATCAATACAAAGAAGATATTTACCTGTTTTTCACGCAATTGAACACGGTATCCCCAGTTCAGGGAAGATATGTGATCTTGTACACCATTCTTTAGATTTTCCCAACTGTGATTGATTTCACCTTCTGGTATTTTCCAGCCGAACATTTTAGCATCTTCTGTAATTAGAGAATTCCTCATACAAATTGAAACCTTTTTCAAGCAATGAGTTTCATCCAGAACAAAATGCAACAGAGAATTGAAAATCACATGGACTACTTAACCGCTCGAAGCCAGACTCACTTATTGAATGTCCCAAAAGTGCCGCTTGATGCATGAGTTTTTTAGGAATACAACCAACATTTACACAAGTACCACCCAAACCCCAAGTGGTTCCAAGAGGTGAGGGCTTAACAAAATCTAGAACAGCTACTTTCTTTCCATGCCTGAAAGAGGTACGATCATAAAATAAGCACAACGTCATATTAGTGCACTACATTACTGTTGGAAATTCTAAAATGTTGAAAAAAGGAGTTTGAAGTGAAAGAGTAGGAAACAAGGAATTTCAGAGTTCTAGATAACGGGAGACAAGAAAATCATCAGAAACTATGATGACTGGAAAATTTCAAGGCATAATTGCCACCGCCATGCCTTCCTCGCTTCAGACTTATTTTCTACAAAGAACTCACATCGCAGCCATTTTCGCAGCAGCTAGACCACCAGAACCGCCACCAACAACAATCAGATCATATTTGTGATCCTTCAGCCATTCAGCTAATATTTTTGTATCAGCAAGTTTCTTCAGCTCTTCTAATCCGCCTATAGCATCTCCCTAAAAGAAACAAATACAACCAGAAAAAGGGGTAAGAGGAATTCCTGACCGACCTTGATGAATACGAGTGGCCACTGATTTCTTAACGTAATTAATTGCAGACGATCTTTGATTTTATCATTTACACGTACTCGAGCCACTTCGACATGGTTCTCAGTGGATTCGCATGATTTTATGATATTCAAATACTGAAAAAGTACAAATACATAAAAGACAATTAGAATGAAATCAAAACAATGACAAATGCGATCAACGAGAGCAAACAAAGCCTTCCAGGAGAAGCCGCGAGTCCCATCCAGTTAGGAAGGGGGATAGGAGCCGGGGGCATGTAATCCGAAGTTACTCCCGCCTATAGAGATTCGAATTTTTGCAGGAAGAGAAAACTGGCGAGGTGCGTAAGCCAATTCGCTTTCGCTCTCACACCCACCCCATTGCTTCCCTTCCCTGCGAAAATTGGATAACTTAGCCGGAATTGCTGCAGCAAATGCCCCCCCCCCCTGGATGAGGCCAGAAACTGTTCAACCCTTCAAAAGAAAGTACTGAAGCGGCATTCAAATTCAGCGGTGAACTGCAGGGACGAAAAATTATTTCATCCGAGTATTCCGCCAACTGTGTTGTGCCACATCTGTCGTAAAGCAATCAATAAAGGACAACCTTCTTTGATAGTGAACAGCTTAGCACTTCTGTTTGAATTTTTGACGTTACAACACAAAACTGGGCAGCGATCGCGTGGAGGCAAGCAGCGCCGCTCCAAGTGCACGGCCCGATGACCAAGCCCAAATTGAGATCATTCTAAGTTAACCACACTTACGTATTCTCGGCCTGAATAATTATAACATCGAATTTGCCTGGATCAACCACCTTGCCTGGCCCATAAGCTACAGAGGCCAAAATGCATTCATTATTCCTGAGTGAAGAAGAATGCGCGGCGCATTCGAAAAGGGAATGCTCGACGTAAAATCCTAAGCCTTTCATCCATCTAACCCGACAAGGTGATGTGGAAAATTTCTCAATTTGTGGCCAACCTGAACCAATCTATGATCTATATTAATGTAATGAATGAGTACGGTCTCAATAACACCCAAGAAGGCGAGAAGAAACAGAAGTGAAGCTAGAGGTGTGTCTGGAAAGATGGTGTGACGGACAGGGGGTGGTAGGATTAGAACCCCTGCCACATCCCCAGTGTTTACACCGTGCGACTAACATAAAAAAACTCACTTTCTGTAGATCAGCGTCATTTCCTGAGTGTGCTATAGCCACCTTGGAGGTGGCTATAGTGTTTAGTATGACAGGTGCATCGTCCTGGAGTTTGATACGAGTGCGATCAGGAGACGTTGACGACTTGTCGTCACGTCTTCTTGCAGCTGGCATGGCTGATGCCACTGCACCCATACGTTCAGCAGCCAACGGCGATGCAACTGAAATCAAACAAATGCATAAAGGTGACCTAGAAGAACAGTTTCCATTCGAACGAATTCAATAAATTGTAAAAGAATTTCTTTTAGTCCATATGGATCGAGGTTCCTGAGGAAGGTAGAGGTATGGGTTAGTGCCGAAAAACATAGGAAAATGGAAGTCATCATGGCGGCACGTCATCCACCATAACCGCATACAAAGGTGAATAATCCTCGACTTACGCCATCCAGCGGTTTTTTACTCTAAGACATTCGCTCGTTTGGAGCACCTTGTCACTTCTTAGGTGTAGCTGTACTTATTATTAGGTACCGGATATCTTAGTGTCGCTTTTCTGAGTTCAGGAAGTTTTGGGGCCGATTACTATGGAAAATCAATATCTCAGAAAGTCCTTTTTGCTCATTAATACTGCGAAATATGTTGCTTATTGTTTTCTATTGTTGGTTCACAATTTAACTTTCCCCCAATTTTTATACTTTTTTTGAAAATTCCTGGGTCCAGTGTGCAAATTCGCATGTGTGTACCAAATGCTTCAAAATTCTTGCTGAGAGCTACAACTTCCGCCCACCAAACCAACATTGCATTTGTTGGAGGGAATACTACCATTTAAAATGCTCATCGGTTTTTCACAGTTTTCTCAAAAGACAGTGAAGTCTTTGAAGTGATGCCCGCAATCGTCGTCAAAAAGGTGGCCCTAGTTAAATCAGTCGAGACGGGGCTGCACCAGTCTTGTGCTGAAATGGTAGGACACCTTAGCAGTGACTGATCGATGATGCACAAACGCTTTAACGAAGTTGATTGCACAAGAAATTTAATAAATGTGCTCATCTGCTACTCACGTGTGCTCAAAAAGGGTGCGTTTTTGACCCTATGTGGCAAAAAAGACTCCGGGAAAAATTGTCCAGTTGAGCTGGTAAGTTATAACTTTTCCACCATACAGTGCAGACCCTACTCTAACTAACTGTATATTCTTTTGTCCAGGCCTAACTTTTAGCAAGTGAGAGGGATGATTTT